CTACTAGGGGCTCCTGGCCTTACTATTAGGAGCAAGGACGCTACTAGGGGCTCTTTGGCCTTTCCACTAGGAACAAGAAGCTACTAGGGGCTCCTGGCCTTACTATTAGGAGCAGGGACGCTACTAGGGGCTCTTTGGCCTTACTACTCGTACTAGGAACAAGAAGCTACTAGGGGCTCCTGGCCTTTCTAGGAACAAGAAGCTACTAGGGGCTCCTGGCCTTACTCTTAGGAGCAAGGACGCTACTAGGGGCTCCTGGCCTTACTACTAGCAACAAGAAGCTACTAGGGGCTCCTGGCCTTACTTGCGTGCATGCTTGCATCTTTGCCAAATAACGATCCTCAGGGCCAGCGGTGAAAAGCAAGTGCCTTTGCCGTCGCTTCTCTCCTGCGGCGCGGTGCACCAAGCCCTGGTAAAGCACAAGCTCCGCACCAAGGCACGAGTGTTGAGCGGGCCCAAGGGCTTTTGAAAGCTGAAGGACAATTGGCGTTCATCTCAAACCTGGTTCCATTCAATGGTGTTGCGTTTCTCCTTCTTGATCCTCTTTGATTCCTTTTGGATGTCTCTTGGATTCCTCTAATTACTCCAGTGCAGTAACTGACCTTTTGGCTGCTCTATTCAGGTGGCCTTCATTGTGGAGAGCGGAGAACCCTATGAGGTGGCGCACCATGTCACTGACCTGCAAAGAAAGAAGGGTGGAGTACAGATCTCAACAATGCGGAGGCATTTTGGTCTCCTTTGAAGTAACAGAATCAACAGCAAGTCTCTCTTCAGTTTGAGCAACTCTTTTCTGCTGTTTTTGAGGCCTTGCTGCTAACCTTCGGTTGCGACGCTGTGTTCCCTTACATGGCATACGAAGCTTTGCGGGTGCTTGCAAGTGAAGGGAAGCATCTGTGCTGCAGCAGAGAGTTCTTATATCCTCTACTAGTAGCAAGGGCATCGCTACTAGTAACAAGGGCATTACTACTAGTAGCTAGAAGCTAATAGTAAAGGACTCTTAGAGAGTTCCTTGGTCAACCGCGGTCTTTCCGCCTCGCTTGAGGTTTGGAGCAGACTGGACCACAGAGACCGGCTTTGCCAAGTACCAGAAGGCTGTTGGCAAAGGCCTTCTGCATCTTGTCGAAGGAGCATGAAACAAATAGACTGCACTGTTCAAGATACTTTTCATCCTCAACTCACGTTCCACCGGTGAATGAAAACACGCTTGTACAGAAGCCCGAGCATCAGTGCGTTGGGCTGCGGCTCCCCAAAAGGGGCACCACTGGTAGCTGGAATGATGTTTTTGTGGAACCACTTTGCAAGCATTCCATTTTCTTGATAATTGGTTTCAAATGGTCTTTCTAAACGAAACCACTGATCTGAAAAAAGGCCTGTGCAACTGGCCGCGGTTGATCTCAGGAAGATTATGGCGAAGATGGGCATCTCCACGTTGAGAAGCTACAAGGGTGCACAGATCGCTGATGCCATTGGCCTCGGCAAGGACCCGTCCCTGAGACCATCCTGGTTTCGCTTCCGAAGTTGAAGAGACCAGGGCCGAAGCAGGCGGAGTTTGACATTGGCTGGTACCCTTTGAGCTAGTTGAGAGCTGGTGCATGATCAGTTATCAAAGTCTTCGTATCACGCCAAATCGTGCCAAATGCTCAGTCAGTCAATCAATGGAGTTGTGTTCAGGTGATTTTTGTTTAAGAGAGAGGTTTTTCTGGTGCTGTGCCGCTGAAGCACGGCCACGGCCATGGGCATCGCAGGAGGTGGCTGAGATGTGCTTCACTGGCATCGCCAGTCAGCTGGGCGGCTTGGGCTTCGAGCAGATTGCCTTGAGGTCGTTGGGCGTGCACGATCGGGGCTTCTCCCCAGATGGAGGCCTCACGGTTCCTTGGCAAAATCGACATCTTTTCGAGGGCAACTTTGTTGATAGAATCATAGAATAGTAAGGGCATGTGGGACATTGTTGCCCCAGTGGCAAGGTGAAGAGCCTCTTTGCCAGCTTGCCGAATGAGGGCAAATACCACTATCGTCAAGGCAAGTCGATGATGCCTGTTGGAAATTCCATGTTGGCAGTTGGCCCGGAGAAAACTCATTCTTTGACAGGAAGTGATGCCGAGAAGCATTTGAATGATCCCATGGTGATTGCTAAGCTTCAGGAGGCTGGAATTGCTCGTGGCAGGGACCCTACCAAGTTGTTGAAGGTCCTCCATTTGAGAGCTTCACAAGTACGCAGGTGATAGGTTTTTCATGCCCGCTGGCCCGTTGGCTCGACAGGGACACATCGACCTGTCAAACCAACAACCGACGTTCGCAGGCAGCAAGGACGAATTCCAGGGCTGCGTATGCATCGTTTGCAGCGCTGCACAACAATTTGGCCTCCCAGCTGCTTCAGGGATGGGTGGGGCATGGGGCTTTGCCCACAAATGCACGGGGGTCCTGAAGTTTTGGTGCGTGAGCCATCCTGCGTCCATGTGTAGTGTAGTAGCTTAAGTAGCTAGCTAGTAGCGAACTTCTCAATTAAGTAAGAAGGCAGGGCCACCGTGGTGGCCACGGGCTTCATGAAAAACACGCGTATGGGTGAGGCGTGGCATGCCGTGGGGCTGCGGCCCACCACTGCTTCCGTTCGACCGTCCGTTGGCGAACCATGGCTCTGCATGGATCTCGCTGAGGTGAAGGCCTCGTCCATCCGAGGACAGCTGGACTTCAAGCCGCCGAGGACGCTTTCGGCGCTTTCTGGTTTGGTGTCTGCAGAATAGCGCGAGAGCCGTGGACTCGAGCCACGTCTCTGAAGCAGAATAGAGCTTAAAATTCCTGAAGAGCCACTGCTGTTTATAGACCTCACGAGACCGGAAGAAGCACAAGCCACTTTGAAGAAATTTGGTTCTTCCCACCAAGATTTATCTGAAAGGGAGCCTCTGAGTGCACTAGTGCAGAGCTAGCAGCTAGCCCTGCTTTTGCGAACTGTACCTGCAGGCAATACGGACGTGCTGCATTGCCTCTCGATGCAGTGGAACCTGCCAGCGAGATTGTGAAGCGCTTCAGAACAGGCACGGCAGCGTGTTTGCCTGTAGCGACACCCACTTCAATGGAAAAGTGAATCCCCTTGATGTAGTGACATATATGATGCCACAAACTTGGTAGGAAAGTGATCTTCGGAATAGCGTCTCGAGATCGATCTTCTTTCTTGCACTTTGGGCCACCTTTGAGCTGGAGAGATCGATCTCGTCAGTCAGGTGCCATGTCCTATGGATCTATCTCCATGGAGGCAGGAGTGATCAAGAAATCTCCCACAAAAATCAGAATGGACTACACACAGAGTTCTCAAGAATCAACTTGAGGACACCACCGGGTTCTAAGACCGAACACCCCCAAAAAGCCCAAGCGTCGGCCAGGCGCTGACCCGTCGTACTTTCCCGGGGCAGTTGCCAGGCACACAGCACCTTGGCCATCGCCTTGAACCGACTGGGTGGCTTCTCCAACACCGGAGAAGGTGGTGAGGATCCGGCCCGGCCTCTTGGCCTGCAACCTGTGTGCCTGCGCCGCGTGCGTGCGTGCGCGATTGGAGATGGAATGGCCAAAGGACCAATGTCGGTCATTCAGAAAGTAAGATGGACATGGAAAACTTAAAAGTCCAACCAAGGTCTTGTGGGGGAACCAAGGATTTCTGAGACTAAAGAATGCTTTCTTTTGAAACGCTGAAAAAGCACACCGAACTCGTGAATCACCGGAAAGGAGCTGTTGCGAGGTATGAGCCGTTGCCGAACGGAGACTCCTTGAAGTCTGCCATCAAGCAGGTGGCCTCTGGGCGTTTTGGAGTGACCATGGAGTACTTGTCCAGTGGCTTGGAACTGCAGATCAAGATGGCCCAAGGAGCCAAACCTGGAGAAGGAGGTGGGGCATCAGGATGTGTTGGGAGTTCCTTGAAGATTTGCATGCTTTAGACACTTTAGAGTATCAGAAAAACAGGTTTAGGAGCTTTTCAAACCATTCAGACTTTTTCAAGAACTGGAAGATCTTGGGATTGCCCATTGAGCTCGCCAGGTGAGCTGCCCGGGAAGAAGGTGCAGGGAGGCATCGCCAAGACTCGCAACTCCACACCGGGCGTTGGCTTGATCAGCCCTCCGCCCCACCACGACATTTACTCTATCGAAGACTTGGCACAGCTGATTTTCGATTTGAAGAATGCCAACCCGGACGCTGGCGTGAGCGTGAAGCTGGTGAGTGAGATTGGTGTAGGTGTGGTGGCCACTGGAGTGGCCAAATGTAAGGCGGATCACATCTTGATCAGTGGCTGTGATGGTGGTACTGGTGCATCCAAGTGGACTGGCATCAAGCACGCAGGTGGGCTGTATGACTGGGTATTTGAAACAGGTTGCCAAGACGGGTCGAGTGTTCGATGCTAGTTCCGGATTCTTCATGTCAGACGAAATGACCCCTTCTGTTCCAAGTGGCTTGACCTTTCTTTGTTTGTTTTGGTTTGTTTCCCATTGATGTCATGATATGTAATATTTCTATATACTTTTCAAATGTGCCCACTGAGTCCTCACATGACCTCCCCATGAGGCGCTCCTTGGGAGATTGGCTTGGCTGAAACCCACCAGACCCTGGTGCTCAACGGCCTCCGTGGTCGCGTGACCCTCGAGACGGATGGTCAGCTGCGTACTGGCCGTGACGTGGTCATCGCTGCGTTGTTGGGAGCAGAACGTTTCGGCTTTGCCACTGCACCGCTGATCGCTATGGGATGCATTATGATGAGGAAGGGTGTGCACGGTGTGCATTTGATGTTGTTGTCTATGGTGTTTGTGGTGATTCTGCATGTTTACGATTTCTATCCCAAGCATGGATATTGTGGAATTGGTTTGACAGTTTCTTCATTTCTGCCCATCTCCGATCTCATCTCTCCCCTGAGGAAATGCCACCTCAACACATGCCCTGTGGGCATTGCCACGCAAGATCCCGTGCTGCGGAAGAAGTTTGAAGGTCTTCCAGAGCACGTCGTGAATTACCTCTTGTTGGTCGCTGAGGAGGCATGCGGGATCATGCCGTTGTGGGTCAAAAGGTCTTGACAGGCTGCCCATGAGAGTCTTCTTTTGACACAACTGATTATTGGCAAGCAGAGAATCCAACCATTAGAAGATTATTAGAAGCATTAAACAAATGAAAGGGATTTGGTCACTCGATTCGCTTTTTCTTGCACCGGTGTTACCTCCAACAGCTGATCTTGAAAGTCAGACCCCCCGCCCCAGGTGCGTGTGCTGATGGCAAAGATGGGCTTCCGCAACATGGATGAGCTCATTGGTCATGCCGAGGCCGCTTGCGATGTGAGCAGGAGGAAGGGCTGAGCCAGTCGAAGGGAGACAACTTGCAGGGAAGCACCCTCAGCCAGCGTGACCGGGAGTGGTTTTAATGTAGAATCATCGAAAAAAACACCAAGAAACCACAATATGAACAGCAGGAAGCTACAGCGAAACCATAGAAGACAAGGAAGGCCACCAAAGAGCTCCCCACCAAAGGAAATGCCGGTGCGTTTACTGCGTTCGTTTCCGTTTTGAGGTCTTGAGGCAAGATCCTTCCGTGCGAGGGCCCCTACAGCTGGAGGCTGTTTTGGCCCCTGCACACCAGCTTCCAGATGCCGGAAAGATGGGTCACTCGGTTGACCGGATCGTGCTGCGTGAATCATTGGTGGAAGGCAGCTTCACGTTTCTAGAGGGGGTTCATGCGCGCGCTATCCATGCGGCTCAAGCAGGGCTTGAGACAAGAAAGATGCAGTTTCCATGTTTGTTTTGATGGTGCTGACTTTGCCAAGTTTCTTTTAGTGAGGCAAAGTGGAGAATCGCAAACTCTACACGCAAGAACACTTCATGGTTCTCCAGAGGATGATCGACAGAACTCTGGTTGAGGACCAAATGATTCCAAGAACGGAAGCTTCAAGCGATTCATCAGCTCTTTTGGCACATATGCTTGTACTGTAATAGGGCCATCATTTAGGATGTATATATATATATATTTAACTATATATATATATACATATCAAGAAGGTCGGTACAAACAGCTTAACTTTTGACAGATTTGATTGATGAAGGTTGATGTCTTCGCTCCTTGGATCTCGCAGGAGTGCAAGATGACCTTCCGCTATGGTGAGCGCTCGTACGCCGTCAACAACCAGTTGAACAACGCCGATCGCACAGTCGGAACGCTTCTTTCTCATGAGTCACTCGACGGATAATTTCCATGTCATGTCTATTCAGTTTGCCATGTCAAGGATTGGAGGTTTTCTTCAAAAACTAAGCCGGTGCCAAGCTAAGGATCTTCATGCGATGGGGATCAAGCTTGCCTCCAGGAACCTGCCACTTGAGACTTGGCTAAATGAGCTTGCCAATATCCAAGCAGATGTGAATCTGCCACAGCTTCTGCTGGTACTCCACAAAAAGCACGAGTTTTTTGTTTTTCTTCTCAATATTGGAGTATTTGAGATTCACAGATTCATCTACTTCTGCGACATCCATGGGTTTTCCGCATTCACAAAGAGTCGCTTGGCGATTGAAATGCTCTGAGGAAGCTCTCTGGAACTTCCGGCCAGTCCTTCGGTGCCTTTGCAGTGAAAGGTGTCTTGCTGGAGCTGGAGGGCGATTCCCAGGAGTCTGTCGTCGAGAGTCGATCCAGGTTGGTTGGTACCAACGCACATCGACGGCTTCCATTGTGGTTTGATGTCTGAAAGCTGTAGAAAGCTGTTTTGGATGGGTTTGGTGTGTTGCATACCTCATGTTTTCTGGCCCTCACCATTTCGCTTGCTCGGCAGGACTACTTTGGCAAGGGCCTCAGCGGCGGTGCACTTGTGGTGTACCCACCGCGCAAGGCGCGGGCGAGTGACATCCTTTGCAAACCCATGGATTGCTTTTGATTGCTTTCCTTTAGCTTTTTAGATCCGATGAAGCACGACCTCCTCATCAGGCCACTTTTGAGGCTGCGAAGAACATTATCATCGGCAACACCGTGCCTCGCCCCAGAGATCTGGAACTATTCGTTTGGGCTCACCCGCGTGTTCGTGCGTTTTTTTCACGTGTTTGCCTCACGACTTTGAAGCCTCTTTCCCAAAAGGTGCCCGGTCCTCTCCATCCTTAGAGGCCATTGCTATTTATTAGGTTGGATCGCTTCTGGGCTGGAGGCCATTGCTATTATATAGTAACCCCCCAAAATGAAGATGAGAAACTCAGCTTTCCATCCTTATCGACTCCGCTAAGACCGCTCAACAGGCCGGCCATGGGACTCCGTTGCTACCGGTGGATGTACCAAGGCACTCTATGGAGCGACCGCGGGTGTGGCCTTTGTGAACGGCATCGCAGCGGAGCGCTTTGCGGCGCCGGGGCCGGGGTTTGGTGCGTGGCTCAAGGGTAGCACGATCGGCAAGAGATCTCAAGAGTAAAGAGTAGTGCAGAGCCGTGTGGAACTTTGACAGGCTTTTGTTGGTTCGCTTGGAACGTTCTTTGGCTTGGTTGGTGGGTGAAACAAGGGTGTTCAGGAGACCCAAATGCGTTCTCATGTTGACATTTGTGTGGCGAGTTTCTGGGCGCTGGTGTATCTATTCTTTGTGGGCGAGCTTATCGAAAGGGATAATACCGCAAGGCAACAGTTTGATTGAGTGGTGCTGTATGCACTTTGTTTGCCGAGATGATCAGCAGGCTGAACTAAATCGCTAGACGCCACTTGCTCTGAGACCTCCTGTGTTCAACCTCTGCAGGTGCGAAACTCCGGCGTGTGGGCCGTTGTGGAGGGTGCTGGCGACCACTGCTGCGAATACATGACAGGTTCGCGTCCGAGCATCCCAAGCATAGGCCTCCACCGTTGCCACGGCCCTGCCAGGTGGTCGAGTCATGGTGCTCGGAGGTGTTGGAGACAACTTCGGAGCAGGAGAGGAGCAGAGAACGGAGGGGCGGCTTAGAAGCCCAGGTACTTTTTTTCATGGGACGCTGTAACGATGCCAGAACCCTCTCAAAGAAGGAATTCGGAATTCTCTTCTTCTTTGGATCTCATAATGGAAGTTATCCTTGCAATCGGCGCGGTAGAATGTTTTGGTAAGTCAGCTCATTTTGGCTGGTCAGGCATGAGCGGCGGAATTGCCTGGATCTATGATCCGACGAAGACCTTCGAGAAGAGGGTCTTGCCACAGGAGAGTTTTGCCAGAGTGGATTGTGCTTTCTGTGCGAGTGGGCATGGGTCGAGCGGTTGGGTGGCGTGTGGCTTGGAAAGTGTGGAAGCGACGAACACCTTCTCTTATTTGCATTGTTTTTGCATTTTCCGCAAGGGTTGAGCTGAAGATCGCTTTGCGCAAAATGGCTACATAAGATGTTTTGTGCTCCTCCAGGCTGGTCTGATAACTTCTTCGTGTGTTTTTCGAGGGTTCCATCCTAAATCATCCCAAATGACCTGCAGAGGTTTCTGTGAAGCGTGTGGAATGCCCGTCATTTCATGAGTTTCATCGAAAATGAAAGAAGCACGGCCTCCCTACTTAATAACAAGTGCATCGCTACTATATAGCTTCAAGGGCATTACTATATACTATATAGCTAGTAACAAGGGCTTTGCTACTAGTAGCAAGAAGCTACTAGTAGCAAGGTGACTTAGTACTAGTAACAAGGGCATCGCCAGTAGTAGCGAGTTTCCTCGGGGAGTTGGGTCCCATCGAGTCTCAGACGACGATGCGCGTGGCCGTGGCGCCGTGGCGTGGCGGGGTCAGAGGACTTGGAGGTGGGCCGCGTGCAGCCTGGCAGCTCCTTGGATGTTTACGAGAGCGAGGAGAAGGACCGGTCAATCAATTCAAAGTGGAAGGATGGACAAGGATGGCGGAGTTCCAGTTTTTTGGGTGCTGGATAAGAACCAGTGAGACGTCTCCTTGTGAACTGGCTTGTGGAGAATCCATGCCAGTGAAGTCTCCGAGGATGATGCAAGTTGTTGCTATTTCGGAAAGCATGAAACATATCTAGATTTGGAGATTTCGTGCAAGGACCTGTTGTCGCTCTTGGAGGCACACAAGAATTGGACCCACAGCAACACAGCTGCAAGGCAAGCAAGTGCTCATCCTTCCTGTCTTCCTAACTTCAACTTTCCGGATTGCTTTTTTGGTTAAGCCACTTCTCCTTCTTCACTGCCATCACACTCCACCCGAATCGAGTTGTCCCGGCTCGGCTCAGAACTTCCAAGGTAAGGTGGCCACGGCCATTTTGGAGAAGTGGCCGGCCAGTGCCACCGACTTCGTGCGGGTCTTCCCCAAGGACCCACGGCACCGCACCGCGCCCGGAAGGCGTAATGCGCACTGCGCACATTTGCTGCCAGGACTTCAAAGCGGCAGTGAAGTCGGCTCTGGAACGCGGTGAGCACTCGCCCATAGGCGACCTGGATGCAAAGCACTGTTGAAATGGAAGCGCGTGATTTGGTGCGTGCCAGAAACATGACCAAAAACCTTGGGCGATTGCAGGCTCCATGCGCGAGTACCTTCCTTCCCAAGAAGTCATTAACGATCCTCTGGTCAAGCAGCGGATCCGAAAGCACCCCAAGGCCAGGTGTGTTGGTTGCGGTGCAAGTCTTTCCTTCATCGCGATTTCGGGGAGCGATACTCGCCTTAGTCTGGGCTTGCAGAGCTCTCACGGAGTAAGATGTCTTTCGTATGCCTGTCCCGTAACAGGTGAGAAAGAGCTCCACCATGGGTGAGGGTGATGGAGAGCCCAAGAGCATCTTGGGCAAAAAGCAACTGAGTTGTTTCTGAACAGCAAGTTGCCCCAGTCAGAACATTGCAATTAGCTGATCCAGCTGATCCTAGTTTGGTGACCCTGGGAATCCACGGCTTGGCCTACAGATGGTTGTTGCCTCAGCCACCCAACTGGTGGCACCAGCTTTGCTGAGGTCTTGATATGGAGGACATGGCCATCTTCCAGAAGACGACCAAGGGAAATCGCCCGCAGAAGATCCTTTGCCGAAAGCTCCGTGCGTGAAACAACCTGCATCACTTGTTATGAAGGTGACACAATGACAAACATGAACGGATTGAGGAGTTTGTGATATCTTGAGTAGAGGAGCAAAATGATGTTGGCTTCATTGGATTTATGATTTATCTAATCTAAGGATTGAGGATGCCAAGCTTGTCGCAAGCTCCAACCGAGGCCGTTTTCTTGCACACTCAGTGGTTCAGAAACTGTTCAGAGTTGGTATTACTTGTGCGGAACAAGTTGTTTTTCTTGAATAGGAAGGTCTTTGCAGTGGGGTGATTTGCTGGTCGAGGCTTCTTGGAAGTTGATCGTGGGGATCTGCCGAAGAGAGGCCAATCCTTGGACCGTTGGGATGACTGGCAGTTATTCCCGTGTCGGAAAAGACAAAGACAAGGACTGTACAAGTAGACTGACCCCATTTCCACGTCACCAAGTCCTCTTGTGCCAGGAGTGGCAGAGCGCGTTGCGGATTTCCAAGAGATTTTGGCAAAGAAAGATGAGGCAGGGGTTGCAAAGACTGAACAGCAATCTGTGCACCTCAGCATGAGGGTGCCAACCAGTCTTTTGATGGGTGTTCAGTTCACTTCGAGACACACACGTAAAAAATGTGGGTTTGTTTGTAAATCTCCACAACCAATTACCCCAGCGCTTTGAATAAAAGGACTTGCCAGACGGTGGCTTAGTGCAGTGGGTGGCCCCTTTCGCTTTTCTTCATAATTTGGTACCAGAAATCGCAGATCCACGAAACTAAACCTGTGAAAAGGGACTCGTAGCTGGTCATCGACAGAAACGTGTCCTAAAGCCTAAAGCGTTCAAATTGAAGACGCCCAGATAGCTTGAATTGTTCTGACTATGGCCTACAGTAGTTTGCTAGTTCATTTTGGGTGTCCCATTGGATTGTCCAAAGTGAATGAGCTCTGCAAGCTCCGTTGCGAGCTGCCGAAACTCTTTTTGCAGGTGGCTGTCCAGACCCAGGCGTCCAGATGCATGGACTGCGGGACCCCGTTCTGTCACCAAAGCGTGACCGATAAATCGGGGTGCCCCTTGGGCAATCTGATTCCGGTACCTTCGCTTGGAAGGAAGTGAGACGGGTGTCCCGAGAGATGCCAAAAACACACGCTTGTCTCGCATTCAACCGGAGGTTTTTGATCGGCTCAGCGCTTCGACCAACGGGGGCCAGAGAGGGGGACAGAGATCCGAACTGAGGAATGGAATGACTTGGTGCGCAAGGGCGCGTGGTATGATGCTTTCAAGCGCCTCATGTCCACCAACAACTTCCCGGAATTCACTGGCCGCGTTTGCCCTGCTCCATGCGAAGGCTCTCGCTCTGTCAGCATATAATACTGTATCATATAATATACAATAAAGACACTCAACCTTGTCTTGTCGTGTTCTTCTCCTCGGTGGCCTTGAGGCGCATGTACTCTGGGTATCATTGACGATCCTGTCGGCAGCCCAGCCTTGAGCCATGAACGTAAAGACAGGCTACCGATCTGCATCCACAAAAAAACATGTCAAAGAGGGATAAACCTTGAGGACAAAATTATGTAATGCATGAGGTAT